GATGCCCGCCACCATGCCAGCTATTTTTGTGTTTTTAGTAGAGATATGGTTTCACCATGTTGGCCAGGATGGTCTTGATCTCTTGCCCTTGTGATCTGTCCGCCTCGGCCTCCCAAAGTGCTGGAATTACAGACGTGAGCCACCGTGCCTGGCCTATTATGCACTCTTTTATATACTTGGTGGGCTCTTGGTCCAGCTGGATTGTAAGATCCTTAAGGACAGTGACTAGGAGACATAGTAGGAGTTCAAGACATACTTGACTGATTTCCCGATTTTTGTACACTTTGGGTGGGAAATAATAGAATTTTTAAGTATTTATCTAAAGGAAAAAAATCTTCATGAAAAGTTCTTTATGTTTCTAAAATTTGCTTGCTTTGTTCAAAAGGACAAATTTCTTTTCAATACTTCCCTTAAAGCAGCACTATATTAGTGATTTTCTCAACCTCTGGCTGGAGTTTGGTGAAGAAAAGGGAGGCGGTTAAGCTACAGAGATGGGTGTATTTAAATATCTGGTGAGAGAGGACTCTGGGTGTTTTACCATTTTCTATAGTCATGGAGCTCACCAAAGTTTACCATTTGTATAGGAATCTTTTAGCTCTTGGATGGAAAAATCTCTTTCCTGTAAAACTCCATGGAATTTCTGCTTCTGGCTCAGGCAACAGTTATTCATTGCAGATCTTGAAAACTTGTGACACAGGTGTCCAAATGGGCACCAAATAAAGTGAGGGAAGAAAAGTCTCAACTACATATTTTAAAATTATTTTTGGTTCCAGGTGATGAACTGGGCAGGCTGTGACTGGCATTGACAATATCCCTTTACTCAGACCCAAGGGATCACTTTTGATTGAAAAACCTTGTCCTCCAAACCAGCTTCCCAAGAAACAAATGCAAGTCCAAGACCTTACTTCATATTCTGGATGCCCACATGTTCCACCTGCATCTCTCTTTTGCCCAGTGATAGTTTCCGCCTTTAATTTGAGCTGCTGTGTAGGACCTGGTGGGGACTGGAGTTTGATGTTCGAATATAAGGCCCCTTTTCTGGATGAACTTGGCCATCTCTTCTTCCCCCTTTCAATCACCTGGGCTTGGTCAGTGATGAACATGTACCCCCGGGATACATCTTGTCTCAGAGGAGCCCCTTGGTTATAATGAGACTCTGAATTAAAGAGCCAGCTCTCTAGGAAGAATCTCAAATTAGTTAAAAAATTTTTTTATTAAGCTTCCACTATAAAACATCTAACAATTGCTGAGCACTTACCACCTGCTGGGTCTTCTGCCAAACACTTAACAAATGTTATTTCATTTAATGTTCACAATACTGATAGTATATGTAAATTTTTATTATCTTAGTTTTATCGATTAGGAAACCGAAGCATAAAGGGGCTAAACAAATTTTTTTTTTTTTGGAGATGGAGTCTCACTCTGTCAGGCTGGAGTACAATGGCATGATCACTCACCCAGGTTGGAGTACAATGGTGTGATCTCAGCTCACTGCAACCTCCGCCTCCCCAATTCAGGCTGATTCTCCTGTCTCAGCCTCCAGAGTATCTGGGACTACTGGTGTGCACCACCATGCCCAGCTAATTTTTGTGTTTTGCCATGTTGGCCAGGCTGGTCTTGAACTGGACCTCAGGTGATCTGCCCACCTCGGCCTCCCAAAGTGTTGGGATTACAGGCATGAGCCATGGCACCTGGCTAGGGGTTAAACAACTTATCAAGGTCATATAACCAGTACACAGCAAAATTGATTCCCTGATTCCCTCTTCCCTAAATCTTTTTCTCCTTCTGTGTTCCTCCTGTCTGCCAGCTGATGGCAACTCCATCCTTTCAGTTTCTTAGGCCAAAACCCTTGGGACATTCTTGATTCTTCTCTCTCTCTAAACCCTACATTCAATGCTTCGGAAAATTCATTAGCTCTGCTTTCAAAATATGTCCAACTCTGACCATTTCTCTCCACCTCCATTGCCCTCCCCTGATTCAACCCCCCAACACCTTTTGCCTGAAATATTGCCATAGCCCTCCTAACTAGTCACACTGCGTCTGTACTTGTCTCTTTGTCTACCCATGGCTGAGTAATCTTCCAAATGTAGGTCAGACCATGTTGCTCCTCTGCTCAAAAGCCAAAGTCCTTCCACAACCCTGCACATTTCATCCCTGGGCACCTCACTGCCTGCTGCTATCCTGAGAGGGAATGAAGACAGCAGCAGATGTGTAAGTGCCAGGGGATGGCACCTCCCTGCCTGCTCTTCTGTGAACACCAAGGATCACTGGCCACAGGGTCTTGGCATGTGGGCTCTTGGTTTGGGATGTCCCACTCTTCCCCATGCTCCCATAGCCTCATGATTAACTTCCTCACCATCCAGGTCTCTACTCAAATACCACCTTTTCAGTGTATCCATTACTGTATTTACAATTGGAACCTACTCGCCTAGGTAGTAGGCAATCCTCTCACTCTGCTCTAATTTTCCTATACCATCTATTACCTTTTACCATGGTATATAGTTTACTATGTTTATTACTCATTGTCTGCCCTTCTTTCATCACACAGATATTTTTATCTGTTGTGTTCTATGATATATCCCAGGTATCCAGGGTGGTACCTAGCACACTGTGATCAATAAATATGTGTTGAATACATGAATGAAAGAACTTGGATCACAAATCTTAGAGTGGCTATAATTTTGTTGTAAACTGATATAGCATTCTCACATGAAAATGGAATGATGGAGGATATATTATGAGGTAGTCTTGATTAAGGGTCAATTGAAGAGAAGATTTAGTGGCATGTGCTCAGATCAGGGAGATGTAAGATGTAATTGCAGGCCGGCATGGGTTGGGAAGGTGCAGTGGGACTCAATGGGAATTCTTTTAATTTTGCAATGCATTGGCAAGGACACCTTTTCTTCTTAATTAGAGGCCCATGATTTAAAGTTGTAGCCCTGTATCTGCCATAACACAGATTTAGTCCTGAGATGTTTCCCTTCCCACTTCTCCTGCTCTTGTGGTCTCAAGGACAGTGGCTGTTTCTTGGTGGTATGGTCAGACATGATGAGAAATACAGATCCAAACTGTTGGATCACTCAAAAACTGGGAGGAATCTGGAATGGAGTTATTAGATTTGGGGTATTTGAATCATTTCCTGCAGGTTGGCAGGTCCCAGAAGGGTCAGTTTTCAACAGAATCAGGCAGGATATACTTGAAGACATTTCAGCATTTCTGCCTACAGTTTTTCAAATTTGGTGGTGTCCTACTCAGGACTATAGACTGAGGGTTGACCAGATGTCTGAGACATGGACGCTTCTCAGAGGTAACACTTCTCTGACACAATCCTAGTTTCTTGCTTTGGTTGAGTAAAACTTTCCCATCATCTGTACCATTCACAATGGGTTACTCTGCTTTCAAGAAATTGGTTTGGTTCCAACACAAGATGAAAACTGGTGTTGGGGTCATTAGGAGGGAGATTATTGTCCATCATGAGGACTGGCTTCCTGTTCTTTTATGATAACCCATTTCTATATTATCTACGTTCAGTACACGCCTGCTCTTTCTTGTCCACCTGTGATGGTATTAAGGGCACAACTCCAATTACTGAGGGGTTCTATCAACACAGCTTCCAAAGGCTAACCAGGAAGTGATATAGTATAATAACTACCTAAGCTGACCATCAAGCCAAACATTAGTTTCTAGAATGAGTGAATGGAGAAATGTATTCAGTTAAAGAAACTGAATATGTCAACAAAGGTTAAAGAAACTGAATATGCCAACAAAGGTTATTTTAGAAATGTTCATGTTAGGGAATTTTTTTTTTTTTTGAGACAGGGTCTCACTGTCACCCAGGCTGGAGTGCAGTGGTGCAATCTCAGCTCACTGCAACCTCCACCTCTTGGGCTTAAGCCATCCTCCCACCTCAGCCTCCTGAGTAGCTAGGACTACAGGCATGTGCCATCATGTCCAGCTAATTTTTATATTTTTTGTAGAGATGGGGTTTCACTATGTTGCTCAGGCTGGTCCCAAACTCCTGGGCTCAAGTGGTCCATGTACCTCAGCCTCCCAAAGTGCTAGGATCACAGGCATGAGCCACTGTGCCCAGCCAAGACTGACTCTCAGTGATCTCAGAGGTCTTGACATGAGCTAACTAAGCCCTGACTGTTCCCTGACTGGCTGAGCTCTGAGACAGTGACAGTGGGCAGGACCAACTGCAGAGGCTGACGGGTTCTCAGTCATAGCTGCACACAACAACCTCCTGCAAAGCTAGGGCTCATGCCAGAGACTTAGGTTCAGTCAGTCTGGCATGAGGTCAGGGCACCAATCTTTTTAAAAAGCTCTCCAGGTGATTTTATATATAGCCAGAAACAAAAACTACCTGATGTGAAGGCTCCGGAGAAGTGATATCTGAGGAGATGGGAGAGAATGCAGTCCCTACTCTTGCCTCACAATCGCTCTTGTAAGGGCTCCTTCCCCACTCTCTCTCCTGCTTCATCAGTTTTTCATTTTCTCCTGGATTATTTTCACAATAATAAACAGGTTGCAAATTCTCCCATCCTAAATAAAACGACCTCCCAAAACTCACATTTTCCTTCAGCTCATGGGCATTTTCCTGCATCCCTTTAGAGATGAACTCCCTAAGACGTTCTTTCTGTGTATGCTGTCCAATTCCCTTCCATCTATTCTCTCCTAAACGCACTCCATCTGGGCCTCTGCCTCATTACCGCACAGACATAGCCCATCTTACCATCTGGTCAGGCCAGTGACTTTAGATCTCCCCTTCAGCAGAAGTGGGGAAGCTGGTACTTAACACAGACATGCCTGACATACTCTGGGGTACAGCACACCCCAGTCCAGACTGTGGCTGGTTGAGCAGTGCTGGGATCAAAGCTTAGCAAGCAGAATGAAGAACTAAAAAACTTCCCAGGGCAACTTTGGAGAAAATTGCTGCTTAAGAAATGTTGATGGTGACAATGATAAGGAGGTCTTCAGTAAAGGGAAAGCGTATGACTTACACAGTGTGTGGTGGTGATGATGACAGAACTGGAGATGAAAGAGAGGCCATCGTTCATGCTGACCTGGAGTGCAGCTTTCCTGCAATGACAACAAGGGAAGCAGAGACTCTCAGCATGGTGTGCAATCAGCAACAGGCTGAGAGCCAGACACACAGGTCTCCTTTGGGCTCTGCTCTTAACTACCCTTGAGACTGGAGTCTCTTCTGGGGAGGAGGGGTCTGAGTTTCCTCTTCTGTAAAATATGGAGGGTAGTCTGTATAGCCTATCTTCCTCTAAAGTTTGGAGAAATGTCAGGATATGCTTGGCTGGCATATTAAGGCAGTGCATTCAGACATTCTGGCATTGCAGTGAGTGGCATTGAATGGTCAAAGCTTACTTTCATCTAACTTACCTGTCACATTGTAGTTGGACAAAGTATTATTACAAAAACAATCCAAGTCAATGGGGGATAGACTGGGCTAGCTATAAACGCAACATTCTGCTGTTGTTATCTGGACTCTCAGTGATCTGATGGGGGTGGCTTTGCTACCATCCAACAGACTTATAGAGGTAAAGCAGAAGATGAATTTGCCTTCTATCTCCTCCCACTCTAAGACACTCAACTGGCCGGGCGTGGTGGCTCAAGCCTGTAATCCCAGCACTTTGGGAAGCCGAGGCGGGTGGATCACGAGGTCAAGAGATCG